CAGCTGCTACCAGACCATTTATGATGCAGAAATAGAAAGGCTGTGCAGGGTGGCACCTGTGGCTCAAAGGACTAGGGCGCCAGCCCTATATACAGGAAGTGGTGGGTTCAAACCCAGCCCCAGCCAAAAACTGCAAAAGGAAAAAAAAATAAAAAGGCTGCACAAACAACCAGAAACACCTCTTGAAGAAACTGACTTCAGTAGTAGGCTTCTCTTATCCACCACAGAATCAAATCCTGATTCTCCAGCACCCATCCCATCCTCTCCAGCACCGTCTCCATCCTCATCTTTCAATTAGCTAGTCCATCTTCTTGCCTCAAAAATATCCTGTCCAGAAAGCATTGTTGATGCAACACTAGGTGAGTGTTAACTTTTATTATTCTTTTTTGAAATGTATCCTATCTTAACTCTCTGTATGAGTTTGTTTTTCTGTTTCTGTTTGTTTGACTTAAAAGAAAGAGCACAATCATTTCTGTAACTTATTATTAAAGCACAGGGGTATTATTATTATTACAGTATATGAGCCATTATAGTATTGTTATTATGATTGTTACCATATATGCACTGTTCATCAGGGATTCTCATTACCTACAAATCTGACCTAAAGGCAGTCTCAGGAATGTATCTCATCTGTAAACCAGGGATAGCCTGTATTGTTGATTCATTAACATTGAACTGTACCCAACAGAAAACTCTAAGCTCGGCTTGGTGCCTGTGGCTCAAGCAGGTAAGGCGCCAGCCATATACACCTGAGCTGGCGGGTTCAAATCCTGCCCTGGGCCTGCCAAACAACAATGATGGCTGCAACCAAAAAATAGCCAGGCCTTGTCGTGGGTGCCTGTAATCCCAGCTACTTGGGAGGCAGAGGCAGGAGAATTACTTGAGCTCAGGAGTTGGAGGTTGTTGTGAGCTGTGATGCCATTGCACTCTACTTAAGGCGACAGCTTGAGGCTCTGTCTCAAAAAAAAAAAAAGAAAGAAAGAAAACTCTAAGCTTGAATAAAGCTTAATTAACATCCATATTTTCTTTGCAAGGCACGCCATACTCTTCTGGGGTCTAGTAGGAACACTATGGTTGGGGACCATTTTAAACAGTGACACTGTCATTGGACGGCTCTCGCAAAGCAAATGGAAAACTTCGACAGTTTTCCCCCTTTCCTTTTCTTTCTTTCTTTTTTTTAAACAACTTTTCTTCAGTATCTTTATCTAGAGGCACAGATGCTCAAGGACACCAAATGGTTTGAATTCTACCACTGGCCATGTGACCTCCAGGTGGACGGGAGAATTCCAGACCTGTATGAAGCTGGTGCAGACCTGAGCAGGCAAGCTCCAGTTACCTTTAACTGATTAACATATCGTTATAATACTAAAAGTCACTCTCCACAATCAGAATTGTCAGCATTTTCTATACATGCACCATATGAAAGATGTACATGAACTTTTGAACTACGTCTGAAACTCCACACTGCATGTGCTTATATGCTTCCTCTGTCCCATATCTGACTCTTTAAAATTCCCACATCTGCCTTTGTTCAGGGAGGAGGTGCACACAAAATCTCTTTCTCCGTTCTTTGGCTACTGAATTAAAAACCCTGTTAGGTTTGCAGGTAGATATGAGCAGGGTGGATGGCAGATGTGGTTAGGCTGTTTTATACTGGCTTGGGTCAGGCTGACCTGGGATGTTGTGGGAATAAGGATAATTGCTGAGCATGACCTCACAGGTGCAAGACCTTGAAGGTGGGTTATTCTGAGGAGCTGGTTGTTTGGGGGACTGATTAACGTCCCTGAGACTTTCTGATGTGCACAGATAGTACGAGTTGTTATGGGACCATGTTATGGTAATGGTGTTGATCAAGACCCTGGGAATTTCCAAGAAGTAGTTGACACCCCTCAAAAGTTGTGCATAAAATCCAAGCACAGCTCTCTCCATGATGCCCTCAGTCTCCAGGAGGCAGCCCGGCTTATTATCCCAGCTGTTAAAATAAACTTTTCCTTTCTTGCTAAACCTTTACTTGCTCTTGTTCTCTTTGATTATTTCAGCAACTACCTTGAGCCACCACCACACTGCCCTAACAAAACTGAATGCTTTATCAACTGGATGTTCGCTCTTTGTGATTGAAATACAGTAGGGAAAGAATGCAGTTTTTTACTGACAAAATCACCAACACCAATCACAAAAGCTGAAAAATGGGAAGAACTAAATACCACTGAAAGGACCCTTGGAAACAGTGTAAGAGCTGTAATAAAAAGAACTTGATCTTAGCTGGGAACTCAAATTCTTTGCCACTCTGTGCATGTTTATGAATGACCACGAAAGTGCTATGAATATTGATTTGGGAATTACAAATACATTTTAGCAAGTAGGCAAACTAAAACATGCAGAACCTGTGAATAATGAGGACAGACAGAACTCTCTCTTGGCAAAAATAACTTCAAAGTCATAGGCAAAGGATATGGATAAAGAGAAGGTTAAAAAATGGAGAGGCCAAATCTAGGACCCCTTCTCAGACTTATTGAATCAAAATCTACATTTCAGAATCCCCAGGTGTTTGCATGAACATTCAATTCTGAGAAATACTACCCTCAGCACCATGGTAGGTAAATCCACGCCAGAGGTGGAAATTAAACTGTGCAAAGATTAGAGGTCTGCTACATTTGTGAAGTTTTTGTGGATTCAAAGGTGTGGAGTGTGCTAGGAGAATCTCTTATAGTGAAAGATAAGTGATTGCACCTTGCAATTCCTATCAACAGGAAAGAAGTAGAGACCTTGGTGGGCTTCTTTGGCTTTTGAAGGCTGCCTATACCACACTCGGGAATACAGCTTCAGCACATTTATTGGGCGGCATAGAAGCCTGCCAGTCTGAATGGATCCCTGAGCAAGAGAGTGTTGTACAGCAAGTCCATGCTGGGATTCAAATTATCTTGCTGTTTGGCCCTATGCCTCAGCAGATCCAATGGTGCTAGAGTCTTGGGTGGGTGAGGATGCTATGTAGAGTCTTTTTTTTTTTTTTAACCACTAGACCATTAGATACTGTGTGGAGTCTTAAGCAAGCCATTAAGGGAGAGTCACAATGCAGAACCTCAGGGTTCTGGAGCAAGGTCATTCATTTGACAGCAAGCAATTTTTAAAGTAGCCCCCTGGCATGCCACTGGTATTTATAAAGACTGAGAGCCTGGTGATGTGATTCTACTGATAATGCAACTAAGCACATTATAAGCTGGGACATTGCCAGTTTTACCAAGTCAAATTGTTGTGGGGCAGTGGGATAGTAGCAATCCATTAGGTAGATAAGAAAACAGAATTATGAGATTGGAAATGTCTTTGAGGTCAAAGAACAGTGGCGAGAAGTTGAGAGAGTTGGAAGTTCTCACAGAAAGACAAGCTCTACAAAATAAAACTATCTTTCCCTCCACTCCCTAAGAGCTCTCTCCTTGAATTTCCTCTATTGGGTAGACTAGGTTAAATTTCTGGAGTTATCAATAACTCCTGCTCACCAAAAGAATCCTCCCTTACAACAGTATCTCTTTAATCTGTAACTTCCTCTCTTTCTCCATGACTACTGCTTTATTTTTTATGTTTATTTTTATTTTTTGAGATAAGGTCTTGCCCTGTCTCCTGAGCTGGAGTGTAGTGGTGTGGCCATAGCTCCCTGCAACATTAAACTCCTGGGCTCAAGCAGTATCCTCTTGCATCAGCCTCCGGAGTAGCTGGGACTACAGGCATGCCACAACTGGCTAATTCTTTGTTTTGTTTTTTGTAGAGAGGGGTTCTCACTATTTTTCAGGCTGGTCTTGAACTTCTGGGCTCAAGCAATCCTCCCTGTCTTAATTTTCCAAAGTGCTAGGATTACAAGGGTCAGCCACTGCCTCCAGTCTACTGTCTTATTTTTTTTTCCAGCAGCTATCTCTTTCTTGCAAATTTTCTACATTGACAAGTGGTGTTTTTGCATGTCTGATCATCTCATTAATTCTTCAGATATTTATTGAGCATTTGCTACATATTATGCACTGTGTTGGGCGCTGGATACACAATGTGAAGAAGAAAAAAGACACTGCTGCTGGCCTCCTGGAATTTACAGGAAGAGATATGAAAAATCTTGCTTAAAATCCTTCATGGCTCCCTATTGTTTTTAGAATGAAGCCCAGGTGTCTTGACCAGGTTGCCTGTGTTTACCTCTCCAGGATCACCTCTAACCAATGCATTTCCGTTTTTCAGAATATCCTCTTTAGCCCTCCCTGGCTAAAGCCTAATATCTTTTAAGAGCTCAGTCCTGGAACCCACTTTCTCAGGCAGCCTTCTGGACACTCTCTTCCCCCTTCGAGGGGGCACTTCTCTGTAATTTCAGCACACGTAATGCTATCACAACCACATACGCATCATGCTTTATCGTGATCCTTTCTCTCGTCCATTTCCACTACTCTCAAATGAGCTCAGGTATTGTGTCTCCAATACCTAGTACAGTGAATGATTCACAGCAGGTGCCTGGCATGTTTTGTCTGATAGAACTGAATAGATATATGGAAATGCCTCTCACTCTGCAACATCAGACAAGGCCATCACATCACTTCTGTACCCGAGCAAAGGCGCAACAAGGCGGAGACTCCAAGGACTCTCAGAGCTTTCTGCCTTCTGGGTACCAGCCTGGCGTCTTCCACTCAGATTTGGATCCTGCGGCGCGCCCCCTGGCGCCTTCAACAGACACTGCACGAAGGGGAGGGTCCCGGCGAGCACGCGGTCCAAAAGCAGCCCGTGGCGCATGCGTAGGACGCGAGCGCTCGGCTCGGCTAGGGAGAGTCCAAGCATGAGGGGGGGAAACTGTAGAAGTCAGATTCTGTTTTGCTCTAGAATTAGGGAAGTGGCTTCTATTTTTCTGTGACTTAAGATAAAGTATATAGCTTTTCTTGTGGCTCTTTTTGTAGGTATTAAGGTGGCTAAAGATTGTCAAAATCTTCTTTGTCCTTAAGCACCCCTCCTATAGGGGGTGCGTTGGACAGTCCCAGGTCAAGGCGCGCGGGGGCGGAAGCGGCGGCCGGGGCTGTCAGAACTGGACAGGGTCGGGGCAGAGCGGCCATGGAGGGTCAACGCTGGCTGCCCCTGGAGGCCAATCCCGAGGTGAGCGCAACTCGGGTCCGGCCTGGGGCTGTGGGCAGGGGCAGTGGGAGCCCAGCTGTTGCAACTAATCCACAGCAATTTGTCTCTAAGCCGTATTCTCTGTTTTGTTTTCAGGTCACCAACCAGGTGAGTCAGGTGTATGTCGTTTGGGACCCCTGGAATCCCATCTGCCTTGCTCAGTGCACTTCTCTGATGGCCTCCACCTCGCGTTCCCGAGGATTCTGCGATTTAATTCCGTGAGGGCCCCTCTTGTTCTGATTAAGGCGGGTCCGCCCCCTTTGCGGCCACCTCCCTGCCACCTGGCTCCTGGTGATGCTCTCGGCTGCCTTAGCCACTCCTCTGGTCCCATTCCCCGGCAGCACGTTCCCTGGGGACTATAGGTCTGAGGTTTGAGGGACTTTTACTCTGTACTCCTCTTCCCTCTTCGTTTTGCCTCTTGCTAGAGACGAGTCCATAATTTTCCTACCCCAGTACCTTTTGGATGACTAATTTGCCTACACTTCCTGACTCCAAGCTTTGTAAACTCGCCCACCCAGTCCTTGTAATTTCATCCACCGCCTGCACGATGAAATCATCTTCCAATCATCTTCTCTTGCCCCATCAAATTGCTTCTCTTCCCCGCCACGCCCCCTTTCTTTTCCAGTCTTCTAAAAGGAAATGTAGTTGCTTTTATACCGAAGAAATCCCGGGTTAACAGTTCGCGCCATTCTTTGCCACTTACAGTCCTTTAAAGTTCCTTCTGGATTGTTGGAGGTTGGGGTTTGGGTAGGGGAGAGGGAACCTCTCCCAACCACAAGATTAACGAATAGTGAGTGCTACTAGGTAAAAAATTTTGATTTGCCCAGGTGTGAATTGTCTTACCCTGTTTTTTCATTCTCACAGCTCGTTTACTTTTTACAAGCTTCTTACTTTTTCTCAGTTTATCATATAATTTCCACTGAATCTTCCTTCTCATCACCAAGGAATAAAGATTCACTGTGTACTCCAAAAATTGATTTTTGGTTTTCAAGGCTTGTAGCAAATTCTTTGGAGAGAGTGACACCTTTGTTTTTATTTTATTATTTTTTTAAGACAGAGTCTCACTCTCGTGCCCTAGACCAGAATACCATCGAGTTAGCCCAGCTCACAAAACCTTCAAAATTCTGGGTTCAAGCAATCCTCTCGCCCCACCTGTTCTGATAGCTGGGACTATAGCAGCCTATTTTTTTCTACTTTTAGGAGAGACAGAGTCTCTGTTCTTGCTCAGGCTGGTCTCCAACTCTGAGCTCAAGGGATCCTCCCACCTTGGTCTCCCAGAGTGCTAGGATTACAGGCTTGAGCCACAACACCTGGCTGGGACATCCTTATTTTCTGTCTTTGGGAAACATATCTTTCCTCATTAAGTTTGTGAGCTATAGGTTTTTCAAAGATGCCTTTTATCAGTCTAAGGATGATTCCTTTGTTCTTTAGTTTTGTTGTTGTTGTTGTTGTTGTTTGTTTGATTTCAGTTTTTGGCTGGGGCTGGGTTTGAACCTCCCACCTCTGCCACCCTTTTCTTCCTGTTCTTTAGTTTTTATTGTGAATCAATGTTGAATTCTCTCAAATGATTTTTCTGCATCTCTTGAGATGATCCTTTAGGAAAGAAATAATATCAATTCTACATAAACATGAAAGAGAAGACTCTTCCCAACTCATTTTATGGGCAGCATTACCCTGACACCAAAACCAAAAAAGCCAAAATGAGAAAAACTGCAGACTGGTGTCCTTTATAAACATGAATATGAAAATCAATAAAACATTAGCAAATAGAATGCTGCAATAAATATATAAAAGGATAACATGTCATGACCAAGAACAGTTTATTCTGACATTGCAGAGCTGGTTCACTATTCAAAAATGAATCATCATCATTAGCCATTATTAATAAAGTAAAAACTAAAACATTTTAGGTGACATTGTTAATTGTTTTAATGACATATAAGTTTGTATAACTGGAAAGTCCAACTGCTAGTGGGGTTTGTTCCTAGGTAGTCTTGATAAACTATGAATCACATTCACTAGTATTAATAATATTTAGGGGGCCTTTTATAATACTCTGAATAGAAACTGGTTCTTTGGTGATGAAAATATTCATGTTTTTTGGCTTTTCAATCCAGTTGGAAGACAGACAGTAAACAAATCTTTAACAATTGTTTAAGTGCAATGAAAAAAAATTAGTGTTATGATGGAGACCATCAGGAAAAATTTAATAGGTTGGATAGTGACAAGAAACCTTTCTGAGGTGACATAACGGAAAAGATGTATTTTGGTAACAGATTGTACACACTGTATGATGTGCCTTGGCATGGTTTAGTTTGTTTTGAATTTATTAACGAAATAATGTGCTTTAAGTGGGAGAATGGACAAATACCTGAGAAGTGGTTTTAACCAAAATTTTTGTGTGGTTTCTTTATGTGTTAGAGACTGAATCAGGAGTAGAAAATGAATAGGAATTTAATTAGCTGGCTTAGAATGTGGAGCATTAGTAAATACCAACAATAATGTCTATACCACTCTCTTATTTCCTCTATCAAATGGAGTCATAGGATCTTGATCTCACTGTATTATTATCTGGTAATTGCATATGTTATTGTTGTACTTTTAGTTTTAGCAAATACTACTTTATGGCCCAATGATGCCTGGTATTTTTATGAGAATATTCATCACAGGTCTGCTTTATCCAGATCAGGATTAATTGTTAGACATCAGCTAGAAACTAGGTGTCTCAGGAGATGTAGTGAGCAATGATTTATGTTGTTGGTTTGGATGCTCTCAACCCCTCTTAAGTGTATTTGTTTATGTTGTGGGTAGGAATTACTTAGTATAAAATCATTTAAGGGATAGAAAAAATTATTTAAAAATTTTAAGATCTACTTTATTTACATATGCATTTAAAGAGGTAAAAGCAGTTTATAGCTGATGGAAGTTACAGGTTATTGAGCGTGTTATAATTTAATATTTTTGAACATTTAACATCATAAATGTTAACTTATAACATTTAAGCATTCTATGCTGTATATCAGGTCATCACATTGTACCCTACAAATGCATACAGTTACGATTTAATAAAAAATTAAATTTTAAAAAGTATAGAATGTGATATGGGCAATTATTATCATTTACAACTATACTAGATTTTCACTGTGATTGGCTGTTGTGGTTTGAATATAGCACAGCCATATTATATATATGTTAAATATTGTGTTTTAGAACCAATGATTATTTTATGTGGAATCCCACTAGGATTATTCCTAATTGTGATTTCACTGAGGAGATAAAATGTTTTTCTAGCATAACATCCAAAGGTAAATAAATTTACTGTAGCATAATTGTTCTATTTAGCCTAGATGCTTAGAGTTAGAAAAATAATTAGAGGTTATTTACTGAATTGTTGCCATAAATATACAAGAATTCTCTTATCAGTAGTTCCCATTTTAGGGAAAAAAAACCCAAACTTGTTAATTGTCTTCCTTGAGCTACTGCTTGTTTCCCTGTTCTGTTTCCTTCCTTTGTAAACTTTGCACAAAGAATTGTCCAGAGCCACTGCCACTGTCATTACTGCCTCATCTCCCCTCTCTTCTGTATTCCCTCCTGGTTAGCTTGCTTCTATCCTATTTCAGAAGAACTACTTGTGTCAGGTTTATTAATCACCTCTTTGCCAGACCCCATGGTCACTTTTCTGTCACCACATTTCTAGCCACTCAGCAGCATTTGGTAGAATATTCCTTTCTGTCCTTCTTGAAACGTTATCTTCTCCTGGTTTCTGTGATAATTCTGATTTTCTTCCTATTTTCCTAACTGCTTCCTAGAGTCTTCTTTGCTTGGTCATTGTCTAAGAAGTCCTCCAGACTTCATCCTAGACTGCTAATCTTTTCTGTCTGTATTCTCTCGCTAGTGATGTTTTCTAGTGTGTAGCTTTGGTGCCATTACTTGTCACATAGTTGATCCTACTTTCTTCTAAGCTCTGACTTCTTCACCAAATTGGAAATCTATATACTTTGATATCTCCGTCTGGATGTCTTATGGATCCTTCAAACTTAATATGGCCAAAAAGGAAATATGGATTTTCATTCTCCCATCTTTCCTCTAAACCCGTTTCTTTCTCATCTATCTAATCGTCAGGTTGTTCTCAGTGATTTTTCTCCCTGATTGTGCTACTTTGAAGAGCCCGTAGTGGATTGGTTTGATTTCTGTGGTTGGAACCCCTACCTTGCTGTTTACTAGCTCTGAGACCACAGGCAATTGTCTTACTCTTCATACCTTAGTTCCTTAATTTCTTATAATGTCTCCTAATTTTGTAAGATTGTAGTAAGAATTAAATAATTACATGTAAAATATACAGAACAATGGAATCAAGCGTGCTTTCCATGAATGTTAGCTATTTTTAATATTCTTTTTCTCATTGCACAGATCCAATTGATCTGCAAATCTTGTAGACTAGTTTTTCAAAATCTATCCCAATTCTGGCCATTTTCTCCATTTTAACAACCACAACTCAATCTGTCCCCATCCTTAGCTTGCATAGCTGAAGTGGCTTCCTAACTAGTTTTGCTGATTTTTCCTTTCCTTCCCTAAAGTCTTATTTCCATACACATCCAAAGAGGTCTTATAAAAATGCAAATTCAATCTTGTGACTCCCTTCTTCAGGTACTCTGATGGTCTTGCACTGCCTGTCCTCAGAGTACACTTTCCAGGTTCTTGTGAGTGGATGACGAGGTATTGCCATCTCTCTTCCACTCACGCCCTGCTGCAGTCTGAGTACGTCTGTTCCTGCTTCAGAGTCTTTGCACTTGTCTGTCCTTTGCTGGAATCATCTAATCTGGGTTGTTTCATGGCTACTTCTTTCTCTCT